AGATAAAAATCATATGATCATCTCATTTAGATGCAGAAAGAAAATTTAACAAAATATAACACCCTTTCATGATAAAAACTCTCAACAAATTGGGTATAGAAGGAATGTACCTCAACATAATAAAGTCCATATATATATCAAGCCCACAGCTGACATCATACTCAATGGTAAAAGAGTAAAAGCTTTTCCTGTAAGATCAGAAATAGGACAAGGTTATCCACTCTCATGACTCTATTTAACATAGTACGGGAAGTCCTCGCCAGAACAGTCAGGGAAGAAAAAATAAAAGATATTTAAATAGAAACAAAAAAAGTAAAATTGTCTCTGTTTGTAGATGATGATCTTATATAGAGAAAACCCTAAAAATTTCACCAAAAAAAAAACAAAACAAAAAACCTGTTAGAGCTAATCAATGAACTCAGTAAAGTAGCTGGATAAAAAATCAACATATAAAAATCAATTGTGTTTCTGTACACTAACAATGAAATAACTGAAAAAGAAATAAAGAAAATCCCATTCACAATAGCTTCAAAAATAAAATACTTAGGAATAAATTTACTCAAGGAGTTGAAAGATCTGTACACTAAAAATTATAAGACTCTGATGAAAGAAAATAAGACATAAATAAATGGAAAGATATCCTGTGTTCATGTGTCAGAAGAATTAATTTTTTTTAATTTAATTTATTTTTTTATACAGCAGCTTCTTATTAGTCATCAATTTTATACACATCGGTGTATACATGTCAATCCCAATTGCTCATTTCATCACACCACCCCCCACCCCCACCCCCGTGGCTTTCCCCCCTTGGTGTCCATACGTTTCTTCTCTACATCTGTAAAATGTCCATACTACCCAAAGCCATCTATAGATTCAATGCAATCTCTATCAAAATTCCAATGGAAGTTTTCACAGAAATAAAAAAATAAATCATAAAAATTCATATGGGACCACAAAAGACTCCAAATAGCCAAAGCAATTCTGAGAAAGAGGAACAAAGCTGGAGGCATTACACTCCCTGATTTCAAACTATATTACAAAGCTATAGTAATAAAAACAGTATGGCATAAAAAATAGACACATGAAACAATGAAACAGAATCAAGAACCCAGAAATAAACCCTAGCATATACCGTCAACTAATATTTGACAAAGGAACCAGAGTGCTTGATGGGAAAATGATAGTCTCTTCAATAAGTGGTGTTGGGAAAAATGGATAATCACATGCAGCAAAGTGAAACTGGACCCCTGCCTTATCCTACTCACAAAAGCTAACTCAAAATGGATCAGACTTCAATATAAGATCTAAAACTGTAAAACTCCTAGAAGAAAACATAGAGAGGGTAAGCTCCTTGACATTGATCTTGGCAATGATTTCTTGGATGTGACACCAAAAGTACTTGCAAGAAAAGCAAAAATAAATAAGTGCAACTACATGAAACTAAAAAGCTTCCACACATTAAAAGAAAGAGTCAACAAAATGAAAAAGCAAACTATGGAATGGGAGAAAAATGTCAAACCTTGTATCTGATAAAGGGTTAATGTAAAGAATTCATACAACTTAATAGCAAACAAACAATCTGATTTAAAAATGGGCAGGGCTTCCCTGGTGGCGCAGTGATTGAGAGTCTGCCTGCCGATGCAGGGGACACAGGTTCGTGCCCCGGTCCGGGAAGATCTCACATGCCGCGGAGCGACTGGGCCCGTGAGCCATGGCCGCTGAGCCTGTGTGTCCGGAGACTGTGCTCTGCAACGGGAGATGCCACAACAGTGGGAGACCTGTGTAGCACCAAAAAAAAAAAATGGGCAGGGGAACTGAATAGACATTATTCCAAAGAAGATATAAATGTCCAACGAATGTGTGAAACAGTGCTCAATACCACTAATCAGGGGAACACAAATTAAAACCACAATGAGATATCACTTTACACTTGTTAGAATGGCTATTACCAAAAAAGACGAGCAATAACAAGTGTTGGCAAGGATGTGGAGAAAAGGGAACCCTTGTGTACTATTGATGGGAACATAGATTGGTACGGCCACTATGGAAAACAGTACAGAGATTCCTCAAAAAATTAAAAATAGAACTATCATAGGATCTAGCAATCCTACTTCTAATATATATATATATACATATATACATATATATATATCCAATCAAGATCTCAAAGAGGTATCTGCACTTGCATATTCATGGCAGCCCTATTCACAATAGCCAAGACATGGAAACAACCTAAGTCCATCTGCAGATGAATGAAGAAAGAAGATGTATTATGTATTATATATTTACAGTGGAGTATTATTCAGCCATGAGAAAGAAGGATATTCTGCCATTTGGGTGGACTCGGAGGGCATTATGTTAGTGAGACACGTCAGACAGAGAAAGATGAATACCGTCACTTATATGTGGAATCTAAAAAACCTGAACTCAGAGAAACAGAGTAGAATGGTGGTTGTCAGGGGCTGGGGGTGGTGAGGGATATGGGGAGATGTCAGTCAAAGGATGCAAACTTTCAGTTATAAGAATAAGTTCTGGGGAGCTAATGTACAATGTGGTGACTGTAGTTAACAATACTGAATTACATACTTGAAGTTCCTAAGAAAGTAACTCTTAAATGTTCTCACCACAATTAAAGAAAAAGGTAATTATGTGATGTGTTAGGGGTGTTAACTAACCATACTGTGGTAATCATTTCACAATATAGAAGTGTATCAAATGATTACACTGTATACCTTAATCTCACACAACATTATATGTGAATTTATCTCAGTAGAGCTGGAATAAAGATAAATAAAAAATGATTTACAATTTAAAAATAGTGAGACTGACTTTAACACAAATATGCTGTACTGGGTTGAAGAGCATCCCCTAAAATTGATGCCCACCTAGAACCTTAGAATGTGATCTTATTTGGAAGTAGGGTGTTTGTAGATGTAATCAAGTTAAGTTGAAGTCATACTGGATTAGGGTGGGGCCTAAGCTGATGACTGGTGGGTAGGATATTTGGACATAGGCAAAGAGAAGAATGCCATGTGAGGACAGAGACACACAGGAGAGAATACCATGTGAAGGTGGAGGCAGAAAGTGGAATGATGCATCTACAAGCCAAGGTACACCAAGTGCCAGCGACCACCAGACACTGATTGAGAAGCATGGAACAGATGCTTCTCCATCAGAGCCTCCAGTAGGGACCAACCCTGCCGACACTTTGATCTCAACATTCTAGCATCTAGCACTGACTGAGGGAATAAATTACTGTTATTTTAAGCCACCTAGATTGGGTTTTGTTTAGCCAGAAAGGGGAAACTAACACACATATCAGTACCTATACCTCTTTCTGTCAGTCAGCATAGGCTCGGTTTTGTTGCAGTAACAAAAGACTCTCTCCTCCGATTCTTCGAGGCTACAATAGCAAAGATATACTTTTCATTCTTCTTCTCACCCACGTGTCATCACAGATAGCTGCCACTCCACAGCATGTTACCTTCAAGCAACCTCTACTTGGAATATTGCCTCTATCTGGCATGAGAAAAACAGAAGATAGAGACCAAACATTCAAAGATTTATGGGATTAGAAGATGAAATTGATTCTCATTTCCAACCTGTAAACTATAATATTGAAAAGGCTTTAAGTGACAAAGTTCTAATCAACTCAATCCTGGGACAAGGAACAAATCAAGAGTATGGCCACCATGTTTTACTAAAACCTCTGAATCAATTAAGGTGGTTTACAGTAAATTATTTCAGTTAGACAAAATGGCAGAGGCAAAGTATGCATTGGTTCTTGAAGCTTCTGCCCCAAAGTGACTCACATCACTTCTACTCATGTCTCATTGGCCAGAGCAAGTCTGATGCCATTGTATGAGTATGTATAACCCACATATAGGAGGGGCTGTGAATCTTTTCAGAAACACTACAATCTCCCCACTCTTACAGAGGATTATCCTTTCAGTAGTCACTTTGAGGGGCTAGTTTAGTAGTACAGTGATGTGGAAAATGTTTGGAGTGATTTCCACAGCAAACGTATGAGGTCACATAAGAAATTGACTCTTGACTTTATGATTTTTGACCCCCAGTGGCATTCCCCAGATGGATCATCATCCACCTCGTCCCCAGATGTGGTTACAAATAACTTTTAGTTTACTACCCCAAATTAAACCCCCCTCAAGTAGTGAAAATTTGCCACCGTCAGAGCTGATCAAAGGAAGGTTCTCCAGAAGACTAGCAACAAGGAGCTACAGTAGTGTTGTGAGAAGTGTTATGAAACAACAGCATCACTGAGATTACTGACCAGCCTCCCAGTGGGACTCCCTAAAGGGTGCAATGCTTGATTGAAGGAATATATATAATGTGTAATAAATTATAGCATACTAATATCTTATCATACATAATATATATAAAATATAAAAATGCATAATGTATAAGGTTATGTGTGTATGTATAAGTATATAATATCTCTGATGTGTTTGTTAAAAAAGGAAATCAACGTGGCTTTAGGCATCCCTAGCACAATTTCTGAAGCAGAGAGACACAACTACAGAATGATAATGATGGCCAGCCTATGTGGAAATCTTCCTATGTTCCAGGCACTAAATGATTTATGTGAATTACCTCACTTAATCCTTGCAGCCAGGGCTGGGACTAGGACGAGGGAAGCAACCTACCCGGGGCACAGAATTTGAGGAGACACCCACTCTCAGGGCTGGACAAATACAAGGTTGATATTTGCATGACCCTGAACGCCTCCTTCAGTGTTGTACCCTCAGAGCCTCACCTCACCCTAATCCCGGACCTGCTTGTAACAATCCTGTAAGGTCAAGATCATCAGCTCCTTTCTTCCCAAATGAGGAAACAGAGGCTTATGGGGCATGAGTGTCTTGCTTCACTTGAACCCAGGCAGTTTGGACACCCAGGCCTGAGCCGGGACTCATTGCGCCTGCATCAATGCCTTCGTCGACGCCCCATCTCAAGTTTTGGTTGTTTTTTGTCGTCTTTTCCAGGTGTCCAAGGCAGCTGCAGACTTGATGGCCTACTGTGAAGCGCATGCCAAGGAAGATCCCCTCCTGACGCCTGTTCCGGCTTCAGAGAACCCGTTTAGGGAGAAGAAGTTCTTCTGTGCTATCCTTTAAGTCTTCAAGAGGAGCCTGAGGAGCCTCGGGGCTCCGGGGACACTGACGTAGAAAGTGGGCGCCCTTCTAGTCCACAGCATTTAAAGAGAGGGAAGAGAACCATCCTGGAGACTCCAGGCTATGCATGTTTAAAGAACTGGTCCCCTTTATGAGAATGAGAGCTGATCCACACCCCGAGTTAAGAGATCTGATGTCTGCAGAATTTCCTGGAAGAGGGGAGTACGTAAAGATAAAATCGGTGTCGTTTCTTTCCTGCTATCCCTCCCAAACCTTATGTTTCTGCTTCATATGTAAAAAAATAAAACAGACAGCTGTACTGAGCTCAGATATGTATGACTTTCTTGGAATGAATATTGCCTTTAGAATACCCTTTGACGAGCTGAGTCGTCCAGTGTAGGTGCGGTTCGGTTTAATGGCGTTGATGTTTCGTCTTTGCGCCTTTCTTTTTCTTTTTCCCGTCTCCCCTACCCCTCCTTCCAGCCCTCCCCATTAGAGTAGTAAAGAGATAAGGCTGGATTTGTCTATAAGATTGAACTCAAAGGATGAGCACCCAAAGGGTTTAAGGAGATGTTCCCCGTGGTTTATCCTCATGGTAATAACAACAACAACAAATGCCGGTTGTCTGTATTCTTTTATCACTGTTCCTAACATTTGTACATGGTAGCTTTGATTCTGCAAGTAAAAGTAAATCATGTGTTGTGACTGGTGCTTTCATATATTTGTGACAATTTTTGAGTAATACTGCATGAAAATGTCCCCATGTTACATCCATTCAGTTTTACTATAAAGTAAAGAAAAAGTTTTACTATAAAGTTTAGAAAAAGAATGAAAGAGAAAGGAAGCTGGGGAGGAAAAAAAACTCAGTATCTTGAAAATTGAGATTACTTCAGAGCCTTAGCCATGCCTAAAATACCTCCTAGTTAACAGTGGCATCAACACCTCTCCAACATATTTTCCAGAATCCAAAGCATTTTGGTTTGATCCAGGACCCAGGGCAGCACAGGGAGGGCCAAGTGACAGAGGCAAAGGATTCACCCTGAGTTGGGAAGTGTTTTAATCGAAGAGTCAGAGCAAATTCCCTTTTTCCCTGAATCACAGAAATTCTAGATCGAAAGAAGCCTTTCTGTGCTGTTCTTAACAAGAAAAAACGTGGCCCTTGTTTGTTTAAGTATCAGGAGAAATAAACCCACAACTCCAGACCAGACCCACTCTCAGAACCTGGCTGCTCACGGGCTAGGGGAGAAGGGGGCAGCTGCTGCCCCCAGCAGCTCCACCAGAAAGGGTTCTGGCTCTTTTTGCCCCTGAAATGACCTTTGTTTTTTGCCCACCAAAATTTTCAATAGAATCTTTTCTTTGTTTTTGTTCTCTGCTTTGTTTGTTAGAGTCTTATTTACAAACTTCCTTGCAGCTCGAGCTCTCTCTTCCCAAGAAATGATGTTGAAAGTGATTTTTCTTTGTGGCTCCACCAGTAATGGGAGGTCTGAAAGTCTGTCTCATTTTTTTCTGTGTCATTCCCAGGCAGGTGTGGGCTCTCTTACAATTCCTTGTTTGCTTTGAAATCCCGAAAGACCATTTCTGAATAAATTTTATTCTCTTTCCATTCTCTTCCTCCCACTAAAAAAAAAAAAAAAAAAAGATGGAAAGGAAGGAAAAAAAAGATAAAAAGATGTAATATGCCAAGGACAGATCTTGAAACAGACTTGATAAACGTTCTCCTTAGCTCCTTGTATGGGCGTGATGGTAAAAGAATAAATACATCCAATTTAAAACTCATGCCTGGGGAGGGGGAAGAGAATATTAAGACATTGTGAAATGCATGAATGCACTCCTATAACCAGATACTTCTGTTCAAACCTTGGGATTTTGCTACAGTCAGTGGAGAAGATTTAGAGGGGAAAAACCCTGGCAGAGTATTTATTAAACTACAGTATTGTACCATTGGCTTAGTAATACTGTGGAATCAGCTAAAACCCAACCACATTTCTAAAATGAGCGGAAGTGTGAATTGAATATGTGGTCACATAAAAACAACTGTGAATAAAGCACTCTTTGGTGGTGATTAAGGCGTCATTATAAGACCCTGATGCTTTTCATAATCCACACCATTTACTTTTCTCAGAAGGCCTCTATATTTTCATGTAAAGCTAGGTCTTTGGAGCAGTTAAAATGGAGTTAAAACTTTTAGGAATACAGCTCTGGTAATTAAAAGTTAAGGAAGTTCCAAACTTCATGTGACCTTGTTTATCGAAGGAGAAAGAAGGCAGAAAATACACAGCCCATCTGAAATTAAATTTAAGAAAAATGTTTGACTTTTTCATAATTTCATGTGCTACAGAAGGGAATTATAATCCCAGAGTTTTTCTATGAGTTTTGATTTACTGGTATTTTTACTTGTTAAGGGGGAACTAATCTTTTGATTGCTTATGCCTCTAAAGAGTTTTAATTCTTTTAGAAATTTAACAATCATTTTCACCAGCATAATTTTATCTTAAGGGGTATACTAATAGGAAAACTTAGCTTAATTATTCAAGGCCCTCATTTACATATATAATATATTGGGTAGTAATGAAAATCTGCCATGGAATTCTTTAAACAGTAATAATAAAGCTCATATTTAGAATGCAAACTCTACTAAGAAAAAAACCAATCTTGCCTCATCCTCAAAATTAAATCTGTTTTCTTTTTTTTTATCTTTCCATTTTAAACCAAGTGCTATTTAAGTCAGAGTGTGTGAATAAGTACTTTGAACTGAGGCTAATTTTGCTAATAATATTTGAAAGAGATTGCTCACCAAGGAAAAGTTTTAAACCATTTCTCCATATACTCATTTACAAAAGGAATTTTGAGAAGCATGCTGTCTTAAGGGATTTTTGTACTTTTTTTTTTTAATATTTGCTTCTAGCTGCTCCTGGCAATGGTGAATTGTTACATATACATTAATGTTTTCCCAGCCCTAGAATTGTTCACATTTTTCCTATATAAGATCTGTGGAGTGTACCTTTCAAAGAGAGGGTAATACAGAAATGTTAAAGCAGAAAAACCTGAATGTGATGTGTACATTTTCATCCCCCCATGGACAATGTATTTGTTTTAATAAATGGAATTTTCAGATTCATTTCACATGCAGTCGATTTTATTGTGAAAGCCCATGGACCACCTCGCCCATCGATTCTATGGTTAATTTGAGAAGGATGATGATACATAACAAGATGGATGAGGAAATAGGAATTCATGAATTTTCTTTAGGGGTTGTTAATAGAGGCACCTAAGGAGGGAAAATCTCACATGAGGCTCTTTAAAAGGCTTTCTCCCTGGGTACAGTGCCTGGGGACAGAGAAAGGTGATGGGGAAGAGTCCAGGCTCTGGCAGGCTGGACCGTGAAGTTACATGAGATGCATTTACACTTGAACATGTTATGGGTATGCCACATGGGGATTCCTCCTCTACAAAAAGAAAAAATTGAACAGAAAACATGCTGTTCTCCATAAGCTGCTCATGATTTAAAAGGAGTACTAGAGAAGATAAAGGCTTAGAACTCTAGATTCACAGCTTCTTGGAGATTTCTCAGTCAAGATACCCTTCTGTATGTCCTTCAAATTATGCCAGTGAGTAACAGAGCCTGTTAGTAAGGAGATGCTGGATCTCCCAGGATTCGTGCCTGCGACAAAAGCATCTTTAAACTTCCAGTGAAGGGGCCACTTGGAGTTTGTGCATTTGTCCACTTACATCATTGTTTCTCAGACTGTGATCCCTGGATCACCTGTTTCAGAATCACCTGGAATGCCGGACATTGGGCCCCCCACTAACTCCGAATTGCTAGCAATTGTGCTTAAGACCGTGCACTCCGTTGCCTGCTATTGAGGACCACTAATTTAAGTACTTACGACAGCTGGCTTTTCATCACGCCTCACGAAAGGCACAATCTAATTGTCAACACGCTGACTCTTATTCCCACAGCTGCAGGAAGTGGCTGCCCTGGAGTGAACACGTGACCCGCGACTGAGAATCTCGGCAGCTCCCAGACGTGCGACGCAGGGAGGAGGAAGCTGGTGGGTTTTAACTCTGCTCCTGTTCTGTTGAGCCCCCAGGGGAGGATTGCTTCCAGCTCTGGTTCTTTAATAAGCTGCTCACATTTTACACAGCACAATGACGTGGGAATTGGAGCTGGGTCAGCTCCAATCCACAAATTGCAAATAATTTGCCAAGGGAAATCCCTTTCCCTTCGGTTCTGCCCCAAATCTACATTCTCTTCTATTTAGAACCAGGAGACTCAGGCAGAATTTATTTTTAATGAAGGGGGTCACGGGCTCCCGGGCCTTCCTCAGTAAGAACTCCTACCGCTTCTCCATGTCCATAATAAAAGAAGCCCAGAGGCGGGGTGTACCTCCACACCAAGGTGACAGAAAGACGGTGCCTGGTGACCTCAGTTCATACTGTAGGCAAGCAAGAGCCCAGCCAGCATGAGCTGGAGAACAGGAACAAGGCCCCAGAGTTCCATGTGACCTTGGCCAAGTCCTTTAACCTCTCCGTGCTATAAAATGGGGACAGTGTACCTGATTCACTTGCCTCACACAGTTGTCTAAGCCAAATGAAAGAGAGTAGGTAAAGTGCATCATGAAGGAAGAGGTGATAAAGAATCACTAGACCCTGCTTGCACAACTTTCGAAGAGAGGAAAAATCTAGATCATTCCTTCTTGCCTTTTGACTCACTGCCTTTTCTCTCTACCCCAGGGCTCTGTGGTTCAGACCCTCAGTGCCTCATGTCCACCCACTGGTGTAGCCACTCTCTCATCTCCTCCCACTCTAAGTCATGCCACTTACCCCTGAGCATTCATTAATCTGGAGTCCTCTGGCTGCAAGTGGCAGAAATCTAGCTGAAACTGGCTAATAACCGAAGAGCTCAGAAACAGATCCCAATTCAGCCTCAGCTGGATCCAGGTGCTCAGATGATGTCATCAGATGTCTCTCTCATTTCCTTGGCTCTACTTTCTTTTGTGCTGGTTTAATTCTCAGACAGACTCTTCCCCTGCAGCGTCAGGATGGTATCTGCAGCTCCAGGCTTACATCCCACCAGTTTAGCCATCACAGAAGAAAGATAATGGCAGCTCCAACAAAAGTCCCTGGCTGTATCCCCGAAACACTTCCTAAGACTCTTATTGGCTGGATCTGCTTCATGTGCCCGCCCATCCCTGAACCTGGGCCTAGAGATCATTCTGCCACACAGGCAGAACAGTGGTTCCAAGGAAATTGAGGCACTTGTACTAGAGGATCAGAGATTGAAGGTTAAACGCAAACGTAACTGGTGCCAACCACATCCTGCCTGACTCACTGATGTAACTCAGACCTCCCCACATGCAGCCACCCAGAGTAATCTGGCTCACGGAGCTCTTATCAACCCGTCAGGTCCACACGCAGCTGCCTGGCTGGCAAGGCCCTGGGGAGTCAAATCCACCCGACTGTTCCTACTTTATTTTCTAAACTCTCCTCTGATTCATCCTGTCTCCTGTAAATGTAAGATCTTCAACCCTTCCTCCATGCCTTTGCCTATGATGTTACCCCCTCGGGAATGCCATTACTCAGCTCCTCAAGTAAACAAATCTCGCTAGGTTTCAAGCCCAGTCTGAATTCCACGCTGTCTGTGAATGACTTCAGGGAATACTCATCTCTTTCCTCGCTCACCTGCTGTTGCCCTTGTCATC